CTTTCCTTAATTAGCATTTGTCTTTTAAAACTGCTTTTCTCTCAGCCATATGTTGTTGCTGTTGTTGTTGTTATGTGCGGATCACGAGTTGCCTGTGACTCATAGGGACCCTATGTACAGCCATATGTAAACAACCTTAAACTGTCTATTTACTAGAAACCGCATGTAAACTACTCCTAGCAATGTAAGAATCCTGTAACTTTGAACTGGAGATAGTAATATATTAAGTAGAAGTATACTGAATTCAAGTTCACAAAGCAATAACCATCTTTAGATGGGGAGGCATTCTTTAAAGAATTCAGTCTGCTCTCCCAGATGTGCAATAAATAATAAGGTGCTTTGTGTATTGCAATCCATCTGTCTCACTGACAAGTGACTATGGAAAGAACTCATTGTGTTCAGTAACATAAGGAATAACCTGATTGCACTTCTTCTAAGCCAGATTTCTTGGTTCTTTTGGTCATCCATGGGGTAATCAATACTTATCAACAATACTAAAATTCAATGGTCAAGTCTTCTTTAGTCTTTCTTATCCATTGTCTAACTTTCAGATGCAATGAAGTGTGGCTTGCATCAGCACATCTTAATCTTTAAACTGGCAACTTTGCTCCTTAGTACTTTGGAAGGATCCTTGATAGCAGATGTTTCCAATGCAGCACGTCTTTTGATGTCTTGACTGCTGCTGTCGTGGATGTTGATTGTGCACTTAAGGAAAACGAAGTAAATAATTTTAAAGGAGTCAATGATTTCTCATGGGAATATGGCCACTGATTAAGTGGCAGGATACTGTTGATAAGTGATCTATGAAACAAGGTCAGTGAGTACTAGAAGAATTAGAGACAACCACCATGAGCCTGATTGAGTGATCATCACCAAGGAACTCTAGTAAGGTCAATGCTGGATTCCACTGGAAAGAGCTCTGGCCTCTGAGTTCTCATCCCACAGCCTCTATAATGAAAAGAAACTAAACGATTTGACCTTCATGACTGAAAGGCAACCTGTGAGTTGGGCAACATTCCACATTGTTCACACTTTCTGAGAGACATTCCAATCTGCCTGGTGTAAGGCAACTATGGCTAATCAAAAAAAGAGCACAACTACCAACCACATCTTGATTGACTAAGCAGCTCCATATTTGGGAACTAACAAAGGGCACCCAATCAACAACCTCCATGAAGAACTGACCACTGGGCTGACCACCCTACGAATAAATCTGGCTTATAATGTCTTTTTTTTTTTTGCAACTTTGCTGCCTGACCATGCCTCTCTTAGGCCTCAGGCAGTAAATCTGCCCGACGACAGCCACTCATAAACTCTTTTGTTTCACTTCACCCAGTTCTTTGTGCCTTTTTTACCTTACAATCACCTCAGTAATCCCTAAGGTAGAGCACTGTTTGAAAGTGACAGGCAGGGGGGGATCTTTTTGTTTGAGGATTTTCTGTTTTTCCTTACTCCCTGTCTTCATTCATCCATTTGCTGAATTACTTTAGTAGAGTAGGTGGCATTTTCGATGCTGAGGACATAAAATTGAACAAAATTCTAAAAGATCTCAGTGTCTGAACGAGGAGGGTAAAGGGCTCAATATAAAAGCAAAATGCTTGGTGAGCTCTGGTGGCCTAGTGGCAGGAAACTGCACTGTAATCCCAGAGGTGCATGGTTCAAATCCACCAGATGCTCTGCTGAAGAAGGAGGAACAATCGCCTCCTGTACCAGTCAGATCCAATTTGACGGTACACACATAAAATAAAATAAATTAAAAAAAAAAAACTAACCAAAACTGGAACTCTTATTCACTGTTGGTGGGAATGTAAGATGGTGCAACCATTGTGGAAGGCGGTGTGGCGCTTTCTCAAAAAATTGCAAATAGAGATACCATTTGACCCAGCAATCCCATTACTGGGAATATACCCCAGAGAGACCATGTCTGCCATCCAAGCAGATATATGCGCACCCATGTTTACTGCAGCTTTGTTTACGATGGCAAAGAGTTGGAAGCAGCCTAAGGGCCCATCAACAAACGAATGGATAGAGAAGCTGTGGTATATCCACATAATGGAATACTACGCAGCATTGAAAAACAAGGAACGCATGCAATATTATTCAAAATGGGTGACCCTGGAGGACATTATGCTGAGTGAAATATCTCAGTCACATAGGGACAAATACTGCATGGTGTCACTGTTGTAGAATGGGTCTGACATCAGGGTGGGGGTATGACAGAAAAAACTGGATAAATTATGTTTATTGTATTGAAACAGATGAGGGAAAGAACAGATTAGAAGTGATATATGATTGAGTATTATGGTTAGCACAGGAATCCAGAATTAAGGTTGCATATAGAAGTGTACTCGGGGTGGGGGGTGGGGAGAAGGGATGTGGGAATTATATACTAATGAAGGAATTTTTTTCTTTTTTTTTCTCTCTTCAGAGGGGGAAGCGAGCTGGTGGGGAGGGGTGGGCAGGGAGAAAATTGTGGCAATGAATGAATGGAAATCCAAAACCTCTGTAAAAAAAATAATAAATAAATAAAAAATTTAAAAAAAATAAGCAAAGTGCTACCATGTAGACACATGTTTTGAGAACAAAAAGGTTGAAGTGTTCAAGTTGAAAGGATGTAGCTCCCTAATGGCTGTGGCTGAACTGAGTCCTGTGTAGCTTTGGGAATGATACACTCAGATGGTCTTTGAACTGTGGGGTTGGAGAAGCATATTGAATATACTGTGGACTGCTGAAAGAACAAACAAATATGTCATGGAAGAAGCAAAGCCAGAGCATTCCTTAGAGGAAAGAATGGTGAGATATCCTTGGATATGTCATCAGAAGGACATCATGTCCCTGGAAAAGGACATCATGCTTGGGAAGATGGAAGGTCAGGGAAGGGGAGCAAGTACCTCAATGTAATGGACTAAGATAATAACAGGCAGGAATATTGTGTGAATGGTACAGGATCCCAAAGAATCTTGTTCTGTTGTACATGGGGTCACCATGAGTCAGAGCTGATTCAATAGCACCTACCAACAGCAACAAA